TATATAATAAAATTACGGGGTGGTCGGATACTTTTTTAAACCCTTTTCACGAACTAATTTATGCCAACACCATATTGCGGATATATGTAATCTGCACATTTGATTAATGAAATAATATACATTACAATGAAGAAATTTGACCTTTTATTACATGTAAAGATTCCGATTGAAAATTTGCTTGTTTGGACTGTTTGCTAAATGTTTCCATTAATACCATACCGAACCTTTCGAAGCTTTTGTAATTTATAGATTTTGATATCAAGTACAAATCTATTTGGTAAAGTAAAAAAGGTTTTATTTAAGAAAACGTTACTTTTTTTAGTAAGGACTCTTTTCATTTTACGTTACACAACTTGGGTGGTCGGATATTTATGGTAGGTGAGTGTGTGAAAATGAAATCTGTGAATTTGCAATTCACGTACGTGAAATTCAAATTAGCCAATCAGAATTTCATATCCAAACGCCCCACAGTTTCAATTTCAATTTCACATACATCAATTGTTATATATACTATATATATGATTTGCCGATCAATTTAAAATTGATTATTATTGATGATTATCTTCTCGCATCATTTGATAACTCATATATAGTATGTAAATAAAATTCCAAACCATGTAACAACCGTTTCTTCATCTCCCACATTGATAGGGGCTATATATACATAAAGCTATAGTTATTCAAAAACTTTTTGCTTTAAACTCAAGATCATTCTTCAATATTACCTTTATAAAGCTTGACGAGTGGTCGAGGAGATGTAAAATATTATGTGGGGTATAACAAATTTCGGGAAAATCGACTATTATTTCCATGGATGGCAATTTATTTTTGTTTTTATTTATCACATACATAACTTTTAATTAAATATCACTCTGCCCATGTAATCTTTGTCTATACAATCCCTGGCTTTTACATTCAGAGTTTTCAAAGAACACAATTAGGAATAAAACTTTTTAAAAATTATTAATAATATTCAATTCAAGTATTGGTACTTTAAATGACGATTTGAAAAAAGCAATTACACCATCAAATATATTTTATCATTTATTTCTTGTTCTAAATGAAAAAAAAAATATAGGAAGATCAATTTAAAATAACATTGTACATATCAATGCGCCATAATAATAATCATACACATATAAATTCGAGTTGAATGTTTTTATTTATACTACGGAAAATAGATAATAAATAAATGGAAAAAGATTTTAAAAAATAAAATTTTTCAATTTCAAAAAAAAAAAAATGCCATCACATAATAATGAATCAGACTATTTAATACGTTATAATAGTAGTAGTTATTATCATTATGGTAATAATAATAGACATGATAATGATGATGACGATTGGAGGCAGAATGCATTAATTACTTGGTTATGTTATATACTATTAATCATAATTTTATTATTAATTCTATTGTCTAATGATGAAGCTGTCTCTGTATTGCCAGCAGATGTTACAACTATTCCGTATGAATATCAAATATACTCATCGAGTTTTCGATATTGGGGCTATAGCATTAAGCCTTTGCTGCCCAAAGGAGTATATAATGAAAGTGATGACAGCCAAGATGATTTCCCATTACTGGCTAAAGTGATTTCTAGAAAAGCCTTTAATTATGGAATTTATGAAGTTTATGAATACAGATACTCGAAGAATGGAAGTGTTGTTAACATGGTAATAACAACTTTAGCAGAGATTGAAGAGATTGACTTTGAAAATAATGGATTTATTTCATTACCAAAAACAAGTCTTAGCATCAACAATAAAGATTCTAATCAAACACATCCTGAATATTGTGAATATAAAATCAATTGGAAGAATGATAATATAAATATAGGTAGAATCTATAGAAGATGCGTCAATGCAAATGAAAAAGACTACTATCATGTAGCAACTTTCATAGGAAATAATAATTGGGGAATAAATTTCTATTCTCCCGATGAGATAACTTGTTTTGGTAGAATGACAAAATCTGATTATTGGTGGAATTATTGGAGAAGGTATTATTTATTTATTTATTTATTTATTTATTTACCTGCTATTAATTATTTGTTCATTTACTTATATTCCTTTTATTTTGGTTTTAAAGAGATATAATTATTCTTCCTAATGTGCCATTTCCTCCGATCTTACCCACGCTCTATTCCGCATTTTATGATTATCTTGAAACTAGAGTAAGGAGCATTAAAAACAAAACAATAGAAAAAACTAGATAAAACATTTTTAATTATATATCATAAATTTATAATATTTATATATTATATTGAAATTATATTTATTATAACATTGTTGTATATTATTTATATTATTTATAGAGAACTATTTATACGTCATTAAGCTTATTTATATTTTTTACTTTCAAATTGATTTCCTTGATCAATATAAGCAATAGATTATATAAAAATGATTTTTTTTCTCAATTAAATCCCAAGTTATGTTCGAGATTCAATAAATATTCCATTAAATCAATTGACCAGATTTAAAATTCCTAATTGAGAATTACTTTACATTCTAAGATTATTCGATTATAGAAATTGGGATTATCAAGTTGTGGCTTGAAAATAATTAATCAAACCATTGTAACAAAAATTGATACACGACGTATTATTATATTAGGAAACATATACACATCAATTATATCATACTACATTTACACTTAAACTATATAATCGCTTGCTATTTAACTGAGGAAAAACAAAATGTTTTGATTTCCAATAACCAAACTTTACCTTTTTTCCCTCTTTTACTAAAGCTCCTGTTTCAAGAATGAAATATAAAGATTCATATGATCTTAAAACAACTTGTGTAAAATTCATATCCTTTTTTAGTGTGTGGGTGATTTATGTGGAGTGTCATTAAATTTTATTATTATGTAAATATTAACACGGATTATATATGCTTAAAGAATTAATTATCATATGCATTAAACAATTGTTTATAATTTTCATGTCAACAATTAAGTCATAAGATATCAAGCAAATGTTTCAATTGACGCCTTTGAAGATTTTATCTATATTCCTATATTTTATATATTCTTAATTAGTATATATAAATAGTAATTTATTTTATTAAAAATAAAATTTATTTTTGATTTTTAAAAAAATCCAGAGATAGAAAGAAAGAAGAAAAGAAAGAAAGAAAGAAAGAAAGGAAGAAAGAGAAAGAAATGGATATTTCTCAATTAATATATGCGATTTTTATTATATCGATAACCTTTGCAGGAGGTTTATTGACTTCTAACGGAAAAAGTATTCCTTAATTTAATTTACTCCAACTATTTATTTTCCTTTTTATCCTAAATTGCTTTCTTTTTCCTAAAATTAGTAGAAAATTGCAATGAAATCACAAAGTCTAAATCCAAGAGAACTTTTAAAGGAATAAAGAAAAAATAACATTTTTTTAAGATTTCGATTAATCATTATAATAATAATAACAATAACAAGAGTTATTGTTATTTGATAAATTATATTCCTTTTGGATTTTTAAATAAGGTTTGTTTATTATTATCATTATTGTCTGTTGTCTAATAATAATAATAGTAATAATAATAATATAAATTTTTTTTTTGAAAGTTTTTTATAAATTTCTAAATATGTAAAAATATAAATATAAAATAATTAAGAATAAAAGGAAAATGATTTTTATCAATCTTTAAGATGCTTTTCCCTTTTCAAATTTGGTGATCTTTAAATTTTTTTAGGAAGGATTATCCCAGTTGCAGCAGTAATAATCTATTGCTATTACTATTACTATATATATATTAAGAAACGACCGGAATTAGTTATATCACATATTGAACATATACAAACTGACCCGTCGTCATCTGACTTTAACTAAACCGATTTCTACTTCAACTAAAGCATCTTGGCAGAATTGGGCCAAAAATATAACACAGAGCAACCAATCGAATATTTGCATAAGCAAAAAGATTATGACACAATCGTTGGGAAATTAGCACCTGCAACAAGGAATTTGGAGCTTTCCTCTGGTATGTTATAACCTTATAGGTTCTAAGTTATGAGACTATTTTGTAATGTGACTTATTGGAGTTTCTTCTTTGTTATAGCACTTGAAGAAATGAAAAAATGGAAAGTTCCTTACACGAGTTACCTTGAGATCTTTCCTTACAAGACCTGGTCAATTTCTCACTATAACATTTGGGTGATTAGAAATGCGAACAAAAGATTAGCTCACCTTGTATTTTTATAGGGCTTTGAATCTTATAAGCAGAGATCAAAAAATTTCACAAGAATTCCGTGATTTTTCTCGAGAACTTTTGAAAAAGAAGGTAAGTTCTGTATATTTCATTTGATTTCTTAAATGAGATGTATTTAGGGCGGGGTTTTTTGCCAGGCTCTTGCGCCTTTATTGCCTACGCACCAATAAAGGGTATCTCATAAGTAGCTGAATTTGGATGCATGACTACTGCAAGTCTGCATAATTGTACTTATGCTTACATCACAATAGGGGTGTGGTCCCCTGCATCTGGTCATTCCAGGTTTTTTTTTGAGAAGTTTGCTAACTTTAGAGAAGGAGTTTGCTATGTATCTTCCTCTACAACAACAAAGAAACTTTAGAACTTACCATAGTTGGAATATTTGCATATACTTCTCATTCAATTATTCCAATCTAACATCATTGTTTTTCAAGTCTAGTGAAGTAAATGATGCATGGAATAAATATTAATATGCGAACGTTGGATAAATCAACAGGAGAAAGACGGAAAAGTACAGACACCACAAATATTACAGTCACAAAAGACATGAAGAAAAGGAAGAAAGAATCTGCCTCTGCAACTCTTCCAGATCTCACTTCATCCGAAAAATCCAAAGAAAATATTAACAAGTCAAACTGATAATGGATCTTTACAACTGACTGATATTATTTTTAAAGAACCTAAATTTAGTGACATGACTGTTTTAAAAGAAGCACTGATAACATTTTTAAATCTCCTCGTTATCATCTATGACTGAGGCAGTGTTGCAAGCGGTTACTGAGCTGTTATTGCCAGATATCCGAATTCCAGAATTGTGTTTAGTAATTGATAACAATAAATCAAAGGGAGAAGGTAGATTTGAGTTTGTGGATCTTTTTTTTGGAGACGTGAATTACTTAATAATTGAATTAAAGTATATCAATCTTCCAGATTTAATAAAGTCGGTTAATAATGATTGGAATATATCTCCAAATACAAATGATTTGGTAACCCTTGACAAGTATGTTGAAAATGAAGAAGAAAGTGCGCTTTTGGAAAGGAAATTTATGTTTTGGTCAAAAAAAGATAATGAACCAAAACTCACGACATTAAATGAAATTTTATCATCTGCAGAAGAACAAGTTACAAAATACATGAATGTAATTTCACATGGACAAATACAAAAAGGAAAATCAGGTACTATGGATTCTCGAACCCTCATAAAACAACCATTTAATTATCGTGATGTTTTAAAAAGTTATATTATTATGATGATAAGATTCCAACGTCTTACTTGTAGATTTGTTGGATCTCAAAATACTTGTTATAGTTTTACTAAAAAAGTAACGCTTGTTAGTTTGGTGAAGGGTGAGATGCAAAAATTTTTTTATTATATAACTTCCATTTTTAATATTATTTTTTCTGTGTGATAATACTTAGTTCTGCGATTTGTGCGAGCACTATTTTATTGTGAATGTCAATTAATCTCTACAAGTCTGTATTTTTCTGATGCACATCCTACACAATCTGCACACATTAGCTTAAAAGCGAAAATGATAATGCTTTTTTATATTTGGTAAAGTTCATAAACTTTTTAGTGGACGAGAACAAATAGAAAATCTCACTTTTCAAGTTTGCCGGTGCAAAGGTTGAAAATACAAGCGACAAAAAATTAGTTCACACCAATTAGATGCCACAAAGCTGATATGGGCAAACTTTATTGATATTTATATGTGTTAAATATAGTGACAAAAAAATTTTTTACGGCAGAGGTTTACTACATAGATTGCTCCATTCATGAAACGTGCTAAAGATCAATATTATCAGAAAGCCCAAGCTAGAGAAAAAATCACGTGCGTAAAAATTTTATTTGCGCAATGAGTCATTCTTTACAATACTGGATATAAAAAGTGTGAAATAGTGACATGGTTGCCGGATCATTACTGCTCGCCAGAATTCTTCCTAATACTAATACTAACCTGAGATGCTATCAGTCAGACGACATTTCACGCGATTGACATGTCTACCGCAATAGCTATGTAGAAATTTTGTGAAATATGTCAATTTTTACGTTAAGATTTGGGATTAATTAATGCTATAATCTTTGAAAAGTTCAATTGGGAATTATTGTATATTTTCATCATGCTCAGCATAAAAATGGGATTTTAAATTCATTATATATTGAAATATATGTTTTTCCCTGGATGGAAGACACGCTATCCGGACAAAAATTTGTGAACGATGCTTTTCGTTAATTATGCAAAATGCAACATAATAAATTTCAACATTAGATAACTTAGATTCTTGTTCGTTTTCATATAAAATTTGATTTTTTATATTATTAATAATAAAAAAACTGAATTTTAAATGTTTACGGTATTTTCGTATTTTTTCAAAAATCTACATAATGAAAATATTTAAATTATATCTATAGTTTTGCATATGATTTTCAGCATCTAGATTTTATTTCTTTCGTTATTTTTGGACCTAAATCGTGATCGGCAAAAATTTTTTTAAAAATAAATCGGAATTGAAAGTTGCAGTGAAAGAAGAATAGTTAAAAATACCTTACGAAACTTTAGAAAAGCTCATTGAAAGCATGCCAAGAAGAATTGGGGCATGTATTTCTAATGATGGGTGGCCCACTCGATATTAGTTGGTTTTTTTCAATTTTGAAGATCTTTTCAAAAAAAGTTTTTTTTTTTAATTAATAAAGTGCTGGAAATACAAAAACATCAAATTTTATATGAAAATAAACAAGAACCTAGATTATCTAATGTTAAAATTTTATGTATTTTTATTATGTAGCATTTTGCGTAATCAACGAAAAACATCGTTCACAAACTTTTGTCCAGGTAGTGTATATGAAGGCATCAGAATCATCAAGATGATGCATTGGTGATGAGAATCCAAATATATTTGCGCATTGTAATAAATAATGTTTAAACATTAACGCAAAGTCTAAATTAGGTACATGTCCAGCATTTTTATGAAGTCTCTTTGGTGATCCATTAATTTGCAAATTGTTTTAAGCATATACTTGGTAATTCCACACAATTTTAAATATGCTTGCTGACTGACATAAGGACAAATGATTATTAAAAATTATGTCTTTATCTTTTGAGTTCTTGCTGATTGTTTCAAAGGGCATCAATTGAGCTTTTATGAATAATTCAAGTTCATTTTATTCCAATGCCCATATTTGGGATGCCTTTCAAAAAATCTTACTTTTTCACAACAGGTTCTTGAATATCTTTTTGTAACTTTACAATTACATTCATTTCCTTGAAAAATATCATTAAATCATGTATGGATGGTACTGTTGTATGTGAAATTGAAATTATGTGAAATTGAAATATTATGGAGTGGGGTGAAATTCTGATTGGCTAATTTGAATTTCACACATGTAAATTTGAATTTCACATATGTGAATTGCGAATTCACATAATTTCATTTTCACGTACAACAGTGTACTAAGACCAATTCATTTTCATAATCTTTTAAACCTAATTATGCACTGGCCTTTGAATTTGGAATTGGACTATATAGGAAAATCGACCCTCAGGCAAAAAATCTATTTTTAGTAACTCCTTTTAAAATTGGTTACACATGTTTTTAATATCAGCTGAGAAATTTTTGCGCACATTAAAATCTAAAAATAGCAACAAATTTTATTGGTCTATTACCCAAAATAAAAATCATAGTTTTCAGGTACTCATTTTTACCCACTGGGTAATGATACAATATATTGTCTTTATTTCATATATTTTTACCACTATTGCAGCCATTATTGTTCTTACAATTATCATCATTATTATTTAATAATTGAATTGTAATATGATTAGACTTCAACATATTATTTGGAATATTTTAAAAAGTTTTCAGAAAATAAAATATCTCATCATATATATTCAATGGGCAACTACAACATATGATCAAATATTTAGTTTCCTGTAAAGATGTTTCAAACATTATTTTCTGAGAAGCATAAAACTTAACATTAGGTATTAAGAACAAAAATCAATGAAAAGTTTTTGGATCAATGTTCATCAGAAGAAAAAGAAAAAAGAAATGGATTACTTCCACAAGCTATTTTGGTGCAGGCCTTCCTTTAACAATAGTCGATGAAGGATCCACTTTTTATTAAATTTTGTCGGAAGTTATGTCATGCATATATGTTTTATCATCCATGAGAAGGTTGACACTAGCATTGTTAAATGATAAATTACATAAATCTTTTGTTTTATTATTTTATTGTAGATGGTAATTATGACTTGTTTTTTATCATCACTATATTGGAGAATAATTTAATATTAAATTTACGTGATTTTCTTTTTTTTGGACGACGATCTATGAATTGTGATGTTACACATATTGCGTAACAATATGTATATAAATTTTTTTTTTAGATTTAAAAAGTGAATTAATACAATAATGGAGGATATTGAAATTATTTCCAGAATTGAGGTTGGATTTACATTAAATGATTTAAATGTCCTTATAAATAATGCATAAATCAAAGAATTAAATAATTTACACATTTGAATCATTTGAATCGAAACTATTATTTTATAGGAATCAGCCCCACCCCTTACGGAAGCAAATGTATTAGAAGAGATTAATGAAGCAGATCTATATACAAAATTAAAAAAGCTACAACGGCACCTTGAATTCCTTGAATTGCAAGAGGAGTATATAAAAGATGAGCAGAAGAATTTGAAGCGTGAACTTATCAGAGCTCAAGAAGAAGTGAAACGAATCCAATCAGTACCGTTGGTTATCGGACAATTTTTAGAACCAATCGATCAGCACACAGGAATTGTAGGTTCTACTACAGGTTCAAATTATGTTGTTCGAATCCTAAGTACTATTGATCGTGAATTACTTAAACCCTCTTCATCAGTGGCTCTTCACCGTCATTCAAATTCATTAGTGGACGTGTTGCCTCCAGAAGCAGATAGCAGTATTGCTATGCTTGGGACTGATGAAAAACCTGATGTGACTTATGCAGATGTCGGTGGTCTTGATATTCAAAAACAAGAAATTAGAGAAGCAGTAGAGCTACCATTGACTCATTTTGATTTGTATAAACAAATTGGTATTGATCCTCCACGAGGTGTTTTACTTTATGGCCCCCCAGGGACAGGAAAAACAATGCTTGTTAAAGCAGTTGCGCATCACACAACAGCTTCTTTCATTCGTGTAGTGGGATCAGAATTTGTCCAAAAATACTTGGGTGAAGGTCCACGAATGGTTCGTGATGTTTTTAGGTTAGCACGTGAAAATTCTCCTGCAATCATTTTTATCGATGAAATTGATGCAATTGCAACAAAACGTTTTGACGCACAAACTGGTGCTGATCGTGAAGTACAAAGAATATTGTTGGAGTTACTCAATCAAATGGATGGTTTTGATCAGACGTCAAATGTTAAGGTACATACATACATGCATACATACATACTTACATACATACATATATTATCAAATAAAATGATTAGTCATTATCGTTGTTATTACCATCATCATTTTTTAATTATGTTATTATACACTATTATTAGGTGATCATGGCTACCAATAGAGCTGATACATTGGATCCTGCACTATTAAGACCTGGTCGTCTTGACAGAAAAATTGAATTTCCAACGCCTGATCGACGTCAAAAAAGGTTAATTTTTTCAACAATAACTGCAAAAATGAATTTATCGGAAGAAGTTGACCTCGAAGATTGTATGTATTCTATTTAGTTTTTTATTAGCTCTAAAATTAAATGATTACAAAATTTTCTAATAATAATCTATTTAAAGATGTATCTCGACCGGATAAATTGAGTGGGGCTGAAATTCATGCCATATGCCAAGAAGCTGGCATGCAAGCAGTTCGTAAGAATAGATATGTAATTCTTAGTAAAGATATTGAGAAAGGTTATAAAGCAAATGTCAAGAAAGCAGATACAGATTTTGAATTCTATAAATAAAAATAAAAAATTATTATTATTATTATTCGATTGATTTTATATAGAACTATAAAATTATTATTTATTATAAATTAATCAAAATTTTCTATAAATGTAATTCGTAAAAAGTATTCAATTGATTTTTTTAAACATTGTCTGTTATAATTTCCTTATTTCTTTTTCATTCCTTTTATATACAGTACGGGTTCAATATTTGTGCTACTACTATAGTCCCATTCACTTTTTTTGGGTTGATAATTTGTCCCATTCAGGGTGTTCGCTCTAACCAAATTAGGGAATTAAATGCGGATTTTTTCGAAAATTACCATATTTGGTTGTATGAGGCGCAGTCAATTTTCAAACACCATTTTTATTTGTACAATTGATACAATTTAAAATTGGAATAATTTTTTCAAATTGGTTTTCTTCATTTTTTTTTTCATTCTTTGTTAATTTTCCGTTTTAAAAAAGTGAGTATTTTTGGTAATAAAATATATATATTAAGGTACTTGCAGGTTACTTTGATTAAACAACATTATCAAAACTGATTTTTTGTATAACTTTGAATATTATTATTAGTAGTATTTACGGTCCTTTTCCCAAAACTTATAATTCTTCAAGTTACATTATCACCACCTTTGTTAATTAATCAAACACCGAGTTGATTCCTTGGTTTTGTTCTTTTTGATAAGATTTATATAAATATATAAATATAAAGATGTCTACAGTTGATCCTAGCTTAATTATTAGCAACCCAATTTACATCGCGACTCTAGGCTTGGCATTTGTATGTGTTTTAGAAATTAATTTTCTCATTATTAATCTTTTTTTTTTTTAAAGTAAAGTTTAATTTATTTTCTTTTTTTATCGTAGTGTGGTTGGATTATATTACTTTCGGGTGCAGCAGCAGCGAAAGTTCAAGGGGGGGCATGGTTTTACATAGTTTATCAATTATTTCTTATCATCGGAGTTCTTCTTACCATTACAACAAATTCTATTCGACAATATCGCATTAGCGTATCCTTTTAATTAATTTCACAAAAAAAGATTTTTTTTGCAGCATTAAAAAGATTCAATCATTTATTATTATCTCCTTAATTAAATTTTTTTAATATATATATAGCTTGTAGCATTTGTTGCAATTGGATTTGTATTGTTGGCAGTTTCTGTAGATGGCTTTGTAGCACTCTCAGAACTCACTAAAGCTGGCTCAATTCAAGCAGCAGCCGCTGGAGGAATTTTTATTTTGATGGTGGAGGTAAGTTCTTGTATCGATATTATAAAAATATAAAAATATAATAATGAATAGATGCGCGCGCGCGCACACACACACACACATATATTGAATATATTTAAAAATTTTTCCTTAAATTAAAAACTCTAGATTGTTTGGATATTCCTTTTTGGTGCATCTGAAGACTCATTAGTCCAAACTACAATGGCTTCATTTACCATTGATAGTAAACCAAATCTATATCAAACTAATGGACAACAAAACATTCCCAGAGTAGGTCCTGGAATTCCAATGATGCCACCACCAAATACTATGAATACTATGAACACCATGAACACCATGAACACCATGAACACCATACAAACACAACCTCAGCAACAAGAAAATTTAAGTACTGTGGTAGTATCACCCAACGCAGAATATGCATACAAAGCCCAAGCATTATACGAATGTGTGTGATTTACTAGTCATCTTTTTATTTTTATTATTATTATTATTAAGATATTAAATTTATTGTTGCTATATTATTATCAGATCAAGCCAACCCAGATGATCAAAATGAACTTTCATTTTCCAAAGGTGAAATTCTTGATATCGTAGATAATAAAGGTAAATGGTGGCAGGCAAGAAAAGCTGATGGTTCTATTGGTATTGCACCAAGTAATTACGTAAGTTGAAAAAAAATTTTTGAAATTAAAAACTTTTAAAAATTTTATTAATTACTAATTGTTATTATTATTGCTATTATGGTTTTAGTTACAACTCGTTTAAAATATCACATTTAAAAATTTTTATACACCATTGTATTTTAATCAATTAATAATTTAAAATGTTGGCATTTTCCTAACTCATTCCATTATCTCAATGTTTTTTTTTTCATGTCAAAAAAATACACACATATATTATATCCTTACAAATATTTATTTATTAATTATTTATTTTTTATTTAATATTTTTTTTTACATTAAAATTAATAATTTATTCGGGGATGTGTAAAAAATAAAAATAATATATATATATATATATATATATATATATATATATCTATATTTACTTACGTAATCACCATTGTCTCATAAGGTTCATAATGTTTTTTTGGAACTTTAGTTTTTCTTAACAACAGTATTCTTTTTCTTTCTTCTAGTTGTAGGACCTATCATGTCTTCATAATCACCAGTTGAAAATTCATTTATAGCTCCAAGTTTGATTTTTTTTATATTGTAAAAGATGTTTCCCTTTAATTTACTACTATTATCATCACTATCATATCTTCTTTTCTTTTGATTATTTCTTGTATCGCGTCTATCTTCTACAATGTTACCCCTATCCCTATCCCTATCCCGCTCAAGGTATACATTTTTCAATTTAATATTTGATGGAGCTTCTCTAAGCGCAAAACTTTTGGCAATATGACCAAGATGCAAATTTCTTGGATGAAATATGTGTTTTTCAGAAGATGGATGCGTGGCATACGCTCGCACATGCGATATAAAGGCTCGTTGGGCCAATTCTATAGACTATTTACAATAAAATTTATTAAAAGAGTTATAATAAAAACAATAAAAACAATAATAAAGCTTACTTTTTCATTAGAAAGAACATATCTTTCAAATTGTAATTGAATTTCTTGTGCTTTAAATTCATATTCTTTTTTTTTATCATCAAATGATGCAAGAGTTTCTAATATATTTTCTATTTTAATTTGCTCAGCTATTACTCCCTGTGCTTTTAGTACATCGATATATTCAATCTCGCTGGGTAATAGGAATATTATTGCTTCGCCATCTTTACCAAGTCTAGCAGTTCTCCCCGCACGATGAACATAACTCTTTAAATCTGTTGGTGCATCATATTGTATAATATTTGTGACATCAGGAAGATCAAGACCTCTTGCTGCAACATCCGTACAAAATAATATACCCGACTTTGCTTGACAAAATTTATTAAATGTTTTGATGCGAATTTCTTGTGAAAGATTACCGTGTAATTGGAAAAGTGTCGTATTCAAAATAAATGTATTTGAACTACCAATAGAACCATCATCGTCGTCATCAACATAACCATGATAGTTTTCATCCATTTCCTTAGAATTATTAAATAAATCAAAGTGAAAATCAACAGAGTCACAACAAGTCATAAACACTACCACCTTACTATTCTTCTTGAATTTTGCATCCTTTTCATTTTCAAAAATAGATTTTAAAATTGCTGTCAAAGTAACCAATCGTAGTTTTGCTGGTGTTATTGCATATTTATGTTTAAGTTGAATTGGATTCGAGTATTTTATTGATGATTCTTCATTGGAGTTTTCCTTGGAATCTTTGTCATCGCTGTCGTGATGGTGAGAATTAGAATGCTCATCATCATCATCATCATTATTATCATTATCAAAGCCACCACCACCAATAAAAATTGGATCAACCAAACTATGGTCCGCTAGGCGACGTACATCATCCCTAAGTGTTGCAGAACATAAAATTGTTTGTCTTTTTTGAGGCAAAAATGATGAAGATAGTAAATTATCGCGTGAGTTTGATTTTCCTGTATTATTGGAGTCATTATTATTAATTCTTTCTTCTAAAAGTTTTAAAATTTCTTTAAGCGTTTCCTCAAAACCTAATTCCAAAAGACGATCGGCCTCATCAAGTATCAACCAACGTAAACCTTCAACCACGAAAGATCTTGTGTTTTGTAAATGATCTAATAATCTACCAGGCGTACAAACCAAAATGTTTACACCTTTACGAAGTCTTGCCTTTTCGGCTTTTTTCTTTTCGCCACCTATTATTAAACCTGGAACTATCCAATGATTGATGTGACAATTGCTAAATTTTGAATTAGGTAGACTGGTTAAAGAATTTAGAACAGATAAAATTTGATTTGCCAATTCACGCGTTGGTGCCAAAATAATAGCAAATGTTCCGAGGAAACGTGATAGTCTCATATTACCATCAATATTTTTATTTGAGTTATTATTGTTTATCTCGATTGTAGCATTAATCATTCGATGAATTATCGGAAGTAAATATGTTAGAGTTTTACCAGATCCAGTTTCAGCTTGTATTATTACATCTACTTGTTTATTTTGTTTATTATCTTGATTGTTTTTATTAATGACGGAAGATAGTATTATTGGAATAGCTTTACTTTGAATGGTTGTTGGCTTTTCAACACCTAATTTATTTTTCATATTTAATACCAAATCTGGGTTCAAGCCCATTCCAATAAAACTTGAAAAATCATTAACAGGTGCATTACTGGGATTATTATGACCATTTTTGATTTCTTTTTTTGAAATTGTATTTTCTGATCTATCTGGGATTTGAGGATTAAATGTGAAAATTGATGATATAATTTGTGTTTTCTGATTTGAGGATATACTTTTTTGACTTTTACTATTATTGTTATTATTATTATTGTTATTATTATTATTGTTATTGTTGTTATTATTATTATTATTAGAAGAAGAAGAAGAAGAAGAAACACTTTTTTGGCTGATAGTAGTATTAAATTCGGGTTTAATTGTTCCTGGGATATTTTGTTCTAAATCTCTTTTAATGATTTTCCGAAGTTTTTTTCGCTCCTTCCAACCTCCTCCAACTTGTTTTAATCTCGATGTGATACTACTTTCTCTACCAATTGATGAATCGTCAAACGAAAAATTAACCAAAATATTATTATCGTCCATGTGTTGAATTTTTTTTTAAAAAACCCAAATGCAGTAATTGATAATCCCAATTTATTTAAATCTCGATTTTATAATTTGGGCAAGTGAACATTGGTATTACCAAGAATTTCAGGGATCAAAATTTAGTGATCATAATTAACAGCTTTATAATATCCCATTTGTTATCTTGAGTGATATATAGAACTACTTCCATATAAAAATATGAAGTTAATCTAGAGGACGCTTACAGATCTGTAGATCGCACGTGACAATTTATTATTATTATCTAGGGGTTAGGGGGGTTCAATACGAATGTTACACACTATGATTTCGCAAAACCAAAACTGTCCTCCCTCGAAATTC